TCCTGCTGTAAACACTCAGCTTCATAACATCTTTTGCAGTAATAAATTCTGCATCATTAATTACAAATAAACATCCCAGCACAAGGCATGAATACTTAAATTATTGAAAAATAAATAAATCTCAATGCAAACACAGCTTCTGTGAAGCAACTTTGGCTGTCACCAAAAGGGTCTGCAAGGAAAAAAAGCAGCTGCTATTGCACTAACTGCACTTAGCAGGGAGGCAGGACATCATCACATCCTCACACAGCATCTTTCTTGAATAGAAATTAAAGCTGGAAGGTAACAAACAGGGTGAAATGATGGCCTTGCCAGAAAACAGCCCTATTAAATACCCAGATTCTTTAGGAAAAATAAGCCACTACTTACTTTAATTTTGGTATCTACACTGAGAAGTGTAAACAAGGTATTCATATCTATCAGAGCTTGTCTTGTCTCTCTGTATACTGTTCCCAGGAAGTTTAGGGGAAGAGAAAGCTGGAACAACAATCCATTCACCATTACTAGATCTCCAACAGAAAGGCTGCCTTAAGACAAAATGGATGTGAGAGAATAAGGAGACTTGAGGGTTATCTCGTTAGGAAGCACCAAAAGATTAAAAAAATAAAATGAAGTCAATCAAGTCTAGTTTCTTTTCTCCCATTTTTACACCCAGATGTTTAAAACAAACAAAACACATTCCCAGATCAGAATTTATATAGGAAGGTGCCTGAAATATATGACAATATTTGTGTGGATTTTATTTTTTAAAAGCACCTGAAAAATAAGTCAAGGCAAAGTCACAGAAAACATCAGATTGCAAAGCTGTAAATTCCACAGAGAGAAACATAAAGGGGCTTAAATAAGACAGAAGGGGAAGAACCAATACATGAAAGCAAGAATTAGTACAATCTTAAGTGCAATTACAGGGAAATCCAAATGATAGGATTTGTTGTGATCAAGAGGAAGGACTTTCATACCATACACAACAGAGCTGCTAAAACCCACAGTGAGAACCTCTGGGCAGCTTCCTATCAAATATGCTGATCAAACTCAGAATGACACACTAGCTAAAGGTAAGTACCAGGTCAGTTCAGCTGAAACAGGCCCAGAAAGATGATTTAAAACTGTTTTTCTACCATCCTGCATCCTTAGGCTATTCTAAGTTTTCTTAAGGACAGCCATAAGCTGCACCTACTGACTTATCTACTCACAGTGTAATTTCCCTCTCCTGGCACCTCTTAGAAAGGCCAAATCAGATGCAAGAAAGACAACATGATATAAGGGTCTACTCTTCCCACACATCTGGATGCTAGCAGTGTTTAAAGTGCTTTTGGTCTAAACCCACCTGGCTTTAGCTGAGCCTCATCCCCATTTTTATGTAATAAATTAGATAAACAGATTAAAAACTCCTGAAATATTAATTGTTTTAATAATGTGCCCTTGGTAACCTAAGGAAATGCAGGGCACTGGTAATAAAACTACTGGAAACAAAACACAGAGGTATGCACACTCTGGGGAACAGTTGTGAATCTTGCCAACATGGGAAGGAAGAAGGGTTGAAAGCAAGGATCTTTGCAGAAGGCCCACAGGAGTATTTGTATTTATAGAAGTGTCTTTCACAATCCTTCAATGGAAACTTCCCAAAGTTACCTTTTCCTAGATCTTTCTCTAACAGCTAAAATTGTTCTAACTGAACATTTGAAAATGTTTCTAATAAAATCATACTAGTTTCAGATAAAGATATACATAGACAGATAAACATATATATGATGGAATTAATGATGCTCCAACAAGCAGAAATACCCAAAACTCTCAAACAAAAACCCCACATATCAACCATAACTTAATTAAAATTCACGTCTCTGTGAAGGAATAACTAAGGTAAAGGAGGGTCATTTTTAGCTCACAGACAGATGAGTTACCTGCAACAATGCCCTGGCTGGCAAGCACCATGATGGCTGTTAAGCCAATGCTAAATATAGCACTCTGGCCAAAGTTGAGGAGAGCTAAAGTAGAGGTAGTCTTCAGGGAGGCATTTTCATAGATCTTCAAGAATTCATCGTATCGTTGGGCTTCGTATTTTTCATTATTGAAATACTGTGATGCACACAAAAATAATAAACACATTCTCAGACACACTGGACTGTATATTTAACTAGCTGTAAAAGTCACTGGACACAGACTACATGCACAGAAAGAGACACAACCCCTCTTCAACTCTTCTAACAGTTAAAGAGAATACTATTGTGAAGACAAAATTCATGAGCAAACCCCAGCACTTTTTCCACTGGGAAAGGAGACAATATGGAGATCCTACCACACTCACAGTCCAGTGACACTGGGTGTCTGCCTTGCACAACTTCCACCCAAGTAATGTCAAAACCAAACACCAGCTGCCATTAGACACTGAAAGGAAGAAAATGTTACTGTCCTCTCTGTACTAGGACATCCCTGTTACTGTGATGATGGCAAATGCTCTAGCCCAGCACTCCTCACACAACATCTACACCATCACAATTCTTCACAGAGAACTCCACTGCTTACCTTTCCAGTTCTAGCTCTCCAATTAAAAGAAGCATAAAGTAAGCATGAGCCTGGAAAACCTCCAAGCTGTCCACAGGATATTTACAATAGTAGCAGGAGAAGCAGCCACAGAGACCTGTTCTTTCAGGCAAACCTTGCAACAGAGTGCTACAAACTGCAACAGGTAACGAAAAGAGGGCACAGAGCCATCTGAGAAGACACCATGTTGCAGGCTGACATTCAGAAGACAATTTTGCAAACGAGTGAAGAGAAGCTTTTTCCAGACTCTAAGCTTACATTTTGGAGAAACTGATGGTCAAGGCAATCCAGTCATGGAAGAAACTTCCCACTCTTCATGAGCAAAAAGATTTTTTCAAGCCTTGCTACTCTGTCAGTATCATGTGGTGCTCTTTAAATGAATAATGTTGCAAAAATATGCTATTGCCCCAGATATGTAGCCCTATAAAAGATGAATCTTAGGACTCACTTTCCCTAGGCTGGCAGCAGTAAGACAAAGAGCCCAGGAGTAAAGCCTGGTCTTACCTTCACAGTCTCATAATTGAGTAGTGAGTCAATGGCAGCGTTGCCTGCATCATTGTCTGCTTTGTTCATTTCTATCCGAAACTTAGTCCTGGGAAAGGAGGGATCAACACAGTCAGGAGTTCAGGCTGAGGCAACACTGCCTAGACTGAGGGGGAATCAGAGGGCAGGTCTTACCTCCACTGAGTGATTCCTATCGTGAACGCTGCGTAGGCTCCGAGCGTCCCCAGAGTCACTAGAGCAAACTCTGCACCACATTTGTAATACTAGAATATTTAAAATACAAGAAAAAAAAGTCATAACCATCTTCAAAACTTCACTGTTTGCTCAAAATTGTGACAGCTTAGCCCAAGACAAGAACCCTCAAGGTCCCTCCCAATGCACTCCCTCCTCTGAGCAGCTTAAGACAAAACACAGGTGTAAACTCAAAAGGAGAGCAGCAAGGAGAAGGGTATAAATAAAAAGTCTGGAGGAGATAAACAAGGGCTGGTGTATAATATAACAGTGGAAAATTATTTTTGCCATTATAAAACAGAAAAGTTGCTGGTGTTTGTGCTGTTGACACAAATGTTTACATGCTTTTTTTTGGGGTGGAGTTTGAAAGAAAGCTGAGGACTGCAGAAGAAATAAATGGCCTTGCAAAACAATTGCTCCAGGGTGCATCAGGAGAGAAAAGCCTTAAGAAGAAACAGAAAAGCACCAGGGCAGGTTGGCTGACAGCCAGCTTGACTTGCAGCTTCCAAAGGTTGTAAAATTTAACCCAATATCAACTAGGGTTTGAACTCATACTGTTACATTCAGCTTAGGGCAAGTTCTTCCAAAAATATGAGGAATACACAAAATAAGGGTCTCGCTTTTACTTCAGTCTAAGCTAGGTAACCAAGATTTAGATTTTAGCATATAAATAGTCAAAGATCCCAATTTCAAAGACTGGAAGTGTAATTAGTAAATGAGTTGTTTAATGCACTGCTTATTAAGCTTGAAACATAGAAGAAGGAGAAGCCTATTTGCCAATAGATAATATTAACTTTTAAGTTATAAAGTTATGGATAAAAAAAGGCCAATATTCAGAAAAGAGCCACTGATGACTCTGTCCTCCACACACTAAGACACAACATTCCTGGAGATTTATATTCCACTTCCTCAGTATTTACCCAGATACATTTGACACTTGTGTGCAGAGTTTACTTTTCTGGTTTCTTTCTTTTAACAAGTCTGAAGAAAAAGGTTGAAACCTACCTACACAAATAGAAGACAGATGAAGACAGATGTTAGATGTGAAAATAATTTCAAATAAGCCAATTTAAAGTAACTATGATTTTGAAAATTATGAATTGTTCTCCTTTATGGTAGTTGCTTCCAGAACAATCTTACCTTCAATTATTATTATTAATACTCAGTAGACTTTGGAAAAAGAAAAATCAGTGTATTATTCCCCCATGAGACAATTCCAGCTCATGAGTAAACACCACTTACCAGAATTCCACTGACTAGTGCCACTTCAAACATTGTAGGTCCCAGATTAAATACTAAAGCACTGAGAACAAAACTGATGCCTCTTGTTCCTCTGTCGATGGTTTTGGACAGAGCTCCAGTCTGCCTGCCCAGATGGAAGGCCAAATCCAGGTTGTGAAGGTGCAGAAAAACATTCTTTGCTATCCTCCTGATTGAGTTTTGAGCTACTTTCCCAAATACTGCATTTCGAGCTTCATTAAATAATGCTGCCCCTGCTCTTGAGATACCATCTAAAGACAGATGAAAAAGTTTACAAAATTAAAATAATTATGTTTGTAACTTCCATTCAGGCATGAAATGACATTAATTTTGTATATATTTTCAACATTTCCAGTTCAAAGGTAATTTATACTTAACTGGTCCAAAACTTTATGCTAGTTTTCATTTACAAACCACACAAATTTTAAATCAGGTTCTTTTGCAGCTAGTCCTAAGAATGAGTAGGATTTATAAGCAAAAATCTTTTACAGAAGCATTATTTCATTTTTTTAATTGGAATACCAGAAGCAAGGTCACAGAACACTGGAAAAACCATCAACACAGAAGTTACTATGAAATGACAGAATGAATCCCAGCATGGTGGGTTTTGGAAGGGGCCCCTTAAGATCACCTCAGCCAATCCCCCTGCTCCAGCAGGGTCACCCACAGCAGGGTTTGGAATCTCTCCAGAGAAGGAGACTCCACAACCCCTCTGGGCAGCTGCTCCACAGCTCTTGACACCCCCACAGGAGATAAGTTTCAGTTTTTCCTCATGTTCAGGAGGAACCTCATGGATTCCAGTTTGTGCCCATTGCCCCTTGTCCTATCACTGGGCTCAACTGACAAGAGTCTGGCCCCATCCTCTTGACCCCAGCCCTTTAGATATTGATCAGCATTAATCACATCCCCTCTCAGGCTTCTCTTCTCCAGGCTCACCAGCCCCAGGGCTCTCAGCCTTTCCCCATCACAGAGATGCTCCAGTCCCTTGAGCATCTTCATAGCCTCCACTGGACTCTCTCCAGTAGTTCCTTGTCTCTTGAGCTGGGGAGCCTAGACCTGGGCACAATACTCCACATGTGGCCTCAGCAGGGCAGAGCAGAGGAGCAGAACCTCCCTTGACCTGCTGGCCACACTCTTCTTAATGCACCCCAGGACACCACTGGCCTTCTTGGTCACAAGGACCCATTGCTGGTTTATGGTGAACTTGCTGCCCACCAGGACTCCCAGGTCCTTCTCTGCAGAGCTGCTTTCCAGCAGGGCAACCCCTCATCTGTACTGGTGTAGGGGGTTACTCACCCCCAGGTGCAGGACACTACACTTGTTCAACTCCATGAGGTTCCTGGATGCTTAGCAGTGCACAGGTCAGCAGCTCTGCTGCCCCTCTCCCTTACTGAAGGTTAGTAACACTTGCCAACAGATTTGGGAATACCACTTACAGCCAACAAGAACAGCAGTTGCCACAGTTGCCACTGTATTTGGTGCAGCATCGAGGTTGAGTATGTTCCCAGATACCTGGTTGAGGTTGTCTACTGCATATTTAAACATGAAGGGAACCAAGATATTCATGGCCTAAAAGCACAAAACCACCAATTAGTCCATAGGCATTAACACATGTATCTATGTAGCATGGCTATTCTTCTGAAATTGCTTTACTTAACCACCCAGTGCAGGTGAGAAGGCTCTCTCCATTTCAAGCACAATATTCTCCAGACTACTAAGGCTTTACTCCTGGGACTCTCAGGCTTTTTTTTGTCTCTCTCCCAGGCTCTTTTTAAATACCAATGTCTATCCTAAAGAGCTGTATGCTGCAAAGGCACTTAAACAGAGGCTGAGCACTCGCTGTGCCAATGGCAAGACAAGGAACTGAGTCAAGCTTCAGGGTTTATTTGCACAAGACTAGCTTGAGAAAATACTGAAAATCATAAAGTGTAAAATCCTTAAGCCTTGTTCATGTTCCATTGTTACATCAATCATTCACACCAATAAGAAAACTTACTGTCAAGCTTCATGTAATTAAGAGAATTCATTAATTCAAACTGCTTCCAACTGTGAAAATTTGAAAATAAGGTATAAAAGTTTTTTAGCAGTTGAACAAGTATGTTAAGAGCTACAATCTTATAATCATGGCAGATATTAAAACACTTTACAGTGAACTGACTCTGCTTAAAGTTGGGTGTGAATTTTTTTTTCAATATTTGGAAAAAAAATATGTGGGTAGATGACAGATGATTTTACATGAAGAACAAAAAAACACTAAATCAGATTGACAAAGATGTTTCATCTCCACCAAATGTTTTGTGTATCCACTTATACCTCAGCTGTATTTAGGGATGTCCCTCAGTGCTGAAAGCCCAGCGAAAATCTGTTCTGAAATTAAAAAGCCCAGTAAATTAACTGGATAAAATTAGGTTTCAAACAAAACTGGTGGGAAAGTCTTTCATAACTTGAGTCCAAATTCAGGCTGGAAGACAAAGTAATTGTACTAACAGTCCCAGGATCAAATATCCCCAGTGCTACAAACTGCTGTAACCAGTGGAAGACAGGTACTTTGCCAAGAGGGGAAACCAGTTTTGAAAATACTTCTCATATAAGACTAAAGAAAAAATAAAGTTTACATCTTTTAAATCTGTTCTGTTCATTTTTCTAAACACTGTTTTGGGCAAAACTTTGAAATGCAAATGAGGAAAGAATCCATTTTGTCCTCTGCCCTCTTGTGCTGCCCCTATGAAAGACACTAGGCAGAAAAAAAATGTAGAAAAAAAGAAGACTATCAAATTCTCAGCACAGTATCATCTAGACAACTCCAGAGAGGAGACAAATGAGGTCTGAGATCATCTAGGTGAGATTATTACTGGTTGATTTGTGACTGAAAAAGAAAAATGGCTGAAAGATCAGGTCCTACTTCAAACACATTCTTCTGAGATCTCTCCAGTGGAAGCCTGAGAGTCGTTCAGCAACAGCTCCCCTTTTAATAGGCCAGAATTGTAGAAATCTCCATTAAAGAAAAAAAAAAAAGGACTCGAGGTGAGTATTATCTGCAGAAAGCCAACAAATACCATCAAAGCAGCAGTACACAGGAAGGTCTGATAGCTTCAATTACACACAGCAGATGAACAGGTTACTGCCATTACACGCTTAAACCTGGAGCACAAAGCCCCACAAAGAGCTGGGGATGCATTAAACAGAGATGCTCAATCTTTCCAATATGGAAATTCAAATCCCACACACCCCCCTTCTGCAGCATGGTAAAAAAAAACCCACCCTGCTTCCCCTTCAGAGTTACTGAAACTCAATTTTTGGATGGCTTTTTGTTCTTAATAAGGATGAATAGAGCACAATGGGGGTTAGAGTGATGACCAATGTGGAGCTTTTCCTGGGAGAGGCTACTGGGTTTAAAATAAGGAGTATTGTAATGCAGATTGTCTTGATTTGCTGCCTATTCTCACAAATCCCTCTGCAGGGATTTTACTCTTCAACAGACTATGCTACACTACAGGTGGTTTAGAAATAGAATTACAGATATATTTTAAAGTCCATTTAAAGAAAATAGATGTATTCTTTAAACAGCAGTTCTTCACCTGCAATTAATTTAACTGGTAACAGCCTGCCATTTTACAGAAATGTCTTCTTTTACATCAATATCATTCTACCCAATAGAGTTTTAAATGAAATTTAAAGCCTGGTCTCAGGTTACAGCTGTTCTGACTCCTGGAGGATAAGGCTTGAATAAGAACAAGGTATTGCATTTCATTAGCAATCAAGACACTCTGCTTTCCAGTAATTAAAAAAAAAAAGTTAATCTTACAAAGTTTATAGCAAGAGAGATGAGAGGCCATTATTAGAAACAGACCTTTCCTACTCTATTGGTTAACTCAAGATCATGTTCACATTAAAGGAAATAAAATTTTAGCCTCCTATGCAAACTCACAGCTCTCTCTGCAGCCTGGATTTGCTGGGACAGAGAAAAAAAGCTTTGCACACACCCTGCCACAAACACACTATAATCTACCACCCAAAACTACCATTTTTACAAAACAGACCTGTGCAAGTCTCCCTCCTCTTCCTAATGCCTGAAAGCCTGGTAACAATTCCCACCAAAAAGACCTTTTTAATATATATATACACCTTTTTTTTATTTATAAATTTGACAGCTGAATTTATTGGAAAGCAAATAGAACACCCATAAAGTCATCCCAACTCAACAGCCCACATTTAGCAGCATGTTAAACTCTAAATACATCATATTTAAATGAGTTTAAACATGTTTTTAAATGACTGCACTGTTTAAAGCTGATAGTGCATCATCATCTCTATTCCCTTGTGGGACTACACTACTTTTAAGGCAAATAGTCTCATCTTTCATTTTGTTCTTCCCAGTATTTCTTGTTTAATAAAGATGATGAATTAGTGACAGGCTGAGCCCCAACAAGTTAAAAGTGGTCTACAGTGAACATTCCTTTTGTCAATAATCCAATGAGGAACTTTGAAATTAAGGTGATTAAATTCCTCACTGGACCATTGTAAACATACCTATCCACCAACACCATCTGTGGAAATATAATCAGAAAACTCCATCCCTTGCAGAGGTAAGACCGCTACAGAAGCTACAAAATGTGGTCCAAAGGAGAGAAGAAGCACGTGGCTTCATGTCTTCTTGAATTTAATGACCTGAAATGAACTTTTTCCAGGTTTATAGTAATTATCTAACTCTGAGCCCACAAGCACCGTACATACATACTTAACTGATGACATAGATATCCTGTAGAAAAAAAACTGCAATAAAACACTCGAGTCTTGCCTCCTTAGCCAAACAATTTCTCCTCCTGAAACTTGGAGAATTAGCAGTCAGCAGAACTGCAGATAGCCTGAAAGATTTCTCTGGCTCATGACTTAACACTTGCTTGGTCTGTGATCAGGAGGCCAAAAACCACCACAGGCTGACAGAGGTCACAAGCAATTTTGTTACAGTTGTATGTTTAATCCAGCTTCTCAGAAGCCCAAGTGCTTTTCTTTCTTGTACCACAGAAGAAAGAGGGAAGAAACAGAAAAGTTATAGGGCATTTACTAGACATACCCCATTGGAGAGGACAAAAAACAGGAGAGGGAATGCAGAAAAAGAAAAAGCAGCTCTGTAGAACCCAGGCAGGCTCATCTATATGTCTGAGAAGAGAGGTAATGCCTCGTGTACTCCTCTCACCTGTCCTCCTGTTGCATCTTTCAGATCACACAAATCTGGATAGGCTATAAATATTTAAGGTAAAAATTTAAAGCATGTCATAATACGACAAATCTTCCAAGGGAAAAAAGACCTCACTAGCCCTAGAGCAGACTCCATCCTGTCAGCTCCCAGTCATAAAAAGCCATACAAACAGCTCACTTTGAAGGCTAACAATGCTACTATGTAGACAAAAAGGCACCAAAAAATCACAATAATTTGTTCAATGACAGGCAGCTGGGCCCCACAAAAGGACTCAAGACAGATTGTAACTGCAGGCTCTCCAGTAGCTACACACAGACTGGCTTTTGTTTTGCAACTGAATTTTACTGAACCAGAAGATTCAAAGAGACAAAATATTTCTCAAGCAGCAGGAGAAGGAGGTCTGATCTCCAGCTTCTGTGTGGTTTGTGGATAAGTAAGCCCAACCAAACTGGGTGTAAACTCCTCATTTTTCTTCCTGCAGCTGAGGATCTCATAACCTACCTCTCCTCTGTGATTCCTCTGGAGTTTTCTTAGAATAAAACCAAATCCACTCTAAAGCCCCTGTCTCTGAGAGTCACCATTCGGATCTTTTCTTCTAAGTGGAAACTTAACTCTATAAATATAAAGGTGTAAAACCTCACCAGACTCTTTTGTCAAACTCAGATGAAAATGGTTAAAAGACTCACAAAAGCATTTCTTACTGGGGAAAGTGACTATTGGCAGGCATCATGGTCATATAATTCCCTCCATGAAACCCCTAAGAACAAGCAGCTTTCAGACAAAATCCATAACAAGGATGTAAACCCTTCAGGAGTTCAGAGTGAACAAAGAAATCAGGGCAGGGCTGCAGAGAGGA